CCTCAATATGAAAATATATATAATTGGTTTGAAAGTTAACTAAATGATAGAAAATGAAAAAAAACTTCTTTTAGATTATATATTATAAAAAATAATCAGTGTGATTCTTTATAAAATTTACATTGAAGAGCAAGTCCTTTTCTGATAGACACCTACATATGGAAATATCAGCTCTTTTAACTGGTCCTGTATTTAAAAGAAATATTTCTCGTATTTTCCTACAGTATAAATTCCATGTATGAAGAAACTTTCAGTATAGTCGAACTACAGGAAATCACTTCTGGAAAGTTGGATCATTAATGCTCCTGTGAAATACTGAAATAATTTCATTATCTCGAAATTAATAAATAGGATCTTATTGAATGATAAAAGAATTTTACAAAGATGTCTATAGAATATCTGATTTACTTTTCAAAACACACATCACTAACGAATGAGATGATATATCCGTTAAAAATGCTACAAAATTTATTCATACATGAATATTAATCGTCAAAAAAATAATCGTATAAAGCAAAATGAAATATAAATATTTATGATAACTATGATTTCATCGTTAACGAATGGCATTCTGGTATTTTCTAAATATGATTTTTAATAATTTATACGATAAAACAATGCTCTGATAATCATTATCATCAGATGACTAGATTTTTATCAAATATTGCGATTAGAACGAACTAGTCTTAATTAGTTAAAATCGAAGTAGGCTACGGCCAAAAGAAATCAACAAAATCAACTATTGAAACTTTAGTAATAAAACTGAACGAATAAAATAAACATATACTTTTATTCGAAATTCATTTTGAATAAATTTTTGAAATAGTACAATATGGCATGATCAATGAATTATCAATGTTATTCCGAATCAGATGATAAGAAATTACGTTGATTATTGTCGATGAAATCGTCACAATAATTTATTGAAAAAAAAAAAAACAAATTCAAAATAAGTTACGAAAATAAAATTAACATGAATTTCTTAATGAAATGTGCGCTTCGAAATTTTACTTTGTATAAAAGCGTTTCTATTCGTATTAAAATGCGAAAGACATATGTTGGCTTCTCAGTCGGCCTCTTTCCTTTTTAACCAATTCTATAATAGACTATACTTTGAACTTTTGTCCTATACTTTCCAAAAAAAAAGTAGAAGATTTTTGTGAAAAGTATCAAAAATTCTTCTGATAAAATCCCAATGCATCGTCACTAACGTCCATGAGTATGATGCAGCTATTATAGTGATTATATCCTATTAATTCATCTAGATTGTAGGTGCGGATGTCGGTCTTTTTTGTTATGATTCATGTGAATAAGTAAACGATGAAGCAACAAAAAAACTGACATATAACACGAATTTTGGGCTTCGTACAACGAATAGTTAAGAGAAAATGAATACAAGAACCATGAGACCAAAATAATCGTTCTTATTTTCAATATTGAGTGTTGTATAGAAGAAAACTTTTCAGACAATCACTACTTGTTGAATGAAATCTAACATGGCGAATCATAATACTTGAGATGAGTTCCGAATACATAGAAGGTAATTGATGAAAAATTATTTTATTTCTTAGAAAACTAGATAAAGAATTCTCAATTGTTCATTCACATATGATAACACTTACTATCGAATACGTTTGTTTAAAATGATTTTTCAGATCGGTAATAATCAAAAGAGAACTGATCCTTTTAAAATACACAAAAAAGTGAATTGTGAGTGGTACAGGCGACTTAGAAAAATACAATATTCGTGTTTAAACAAGATGATTTCTTTCTTTCCGTAAATGATTTAAAAGTTTTTATATGGATTTTGTCTGTTAAATATTTAATTACTCATCTCAGTCGAATTTTATTTCGTATTTTTTTTTCAATGGACTAAACTAAATAATGAATTGAAAACTAAATTATTAGACGAAGTGACGAAATAATTATTAAGAATTTAAAATATTCATAATAAAAGCATAGATTAAAAAATAACACTGTGATCCTAATTCACACTTCATATGTGTCAAGTAACTCTTCACGTTTTCGTACAAACACTCACCACATTAAGTTTCGAGAACAATGAAATGGGACACAAGGGTTCACATCATTTTTGCTGATGCATTAAAAGATCACAGCATGGACACCATTCATTTTTTATGTGTCTCTTCGTATCACCATATTCATTTGTTCACATAGACAATCAATACAGTAGATCTCTATGGGAAAGAAATTGGAGGATGTGGATGGGTGTGAATCTACGCTTGAACAATACTGACATTCACACCATCGACATCCAACAGATTTTTTAAATGGACATCTTCGAAAATATTTCTATGTGCCTCAACAATTTTCAATTCTTCTTTCAGTATAGACAGTATTGCTACCAAGCCAGATATACATAATTCATGTGAACTAATTATCGAGTATAAATCATTGCTAAGAAGTGCTGTTTGCTGATCATGGGGATATTTGAAACCAAGATAAGAGCGGCAGCATGTTTAGTTACATTAAGTGCCGTATGTAAAGCAGATAGAGTCGAACGAAGTTCAGATAGCGTTTGATCTATCTTAATTTTCCCAATTTTTTCAATGTTTGATAAAGTAGCGATTAAGTCATGGTGAATTACATGGTATGCTTTTATATAATGTGGAACAACAAGACGAATCATAGCAGATCGATAAACGAACGAATGAACGATTGTAAAATCTTCAAGCCCCTTTTCTGAACAATATCTGTAACAATCTTGTTGCAATTGGTTATACCGAGAATTCGCGGTAATTTTCAGTGGGATTTTTTGCATTTGATTGATACGAACTGTGCTTATTATTAACATTTAATACCTGCAAAAATAAGAACAAAGAAAAGGAACAAATGAATTAATAAAGCTAAACTTACATGTTGTTTATGTATTGTTTCGTTATCATGGGTATTATCAACAAACTTGAAAGGTTTTCTCATTTGAATCAATTTGGATTTTACAGTAGCCAATCTCAGAAGAAATTTTGGGCTTTGTTGATGTGGATGTGGGCAAATGTGTACGTGCGAGTGAATAAAAAAATATAACGACATCAAACTCACATCTTATACTCCATAGGTTCACACGCGCCATTGATAAAAGTAGTCTTATTTTATTGTCGAAATTAAAGAAGTTTCACACGTTCAGATTGAATCTTTGTATAGAAATTCTCCGAGGTCTCAATAGAAATGTCTGTCTATAAAAGATAGGAGTGTGGGTGTGGGTTTGGGTATCGATTAATCAAAGATATGCACACCGACACCCGCACCCCATCCACACCCTCTCCACAAAATTATTATTTTTTTTTGGCGCGTCGTAAACAAAAGAGATAGTATATTAGAATCGAATCTCCTCGAAAGAGCTGATACCTATTTTGGAAATGAGCAATACCTGCAATATTCGAATAAAATTTAACGCCGTGTAATTTACGTTTACTGCAAATCCAGTCATCCACAATCATACTTTTGTAATACATATCTCAAGACTCATGGTGCTAAATGTGAAGGAGAGTTTCATATGGGTGTAACATGTGAACAATATCAAAAAATTTTAAAATTTGGAAAACGAAACGGAGTTAATGGTAAATATAGGTAAGTTTGCATGCTCTGAAATGAAAAGTCTTTTACTATCTCTGATGTTGGGTTCAGGGGAAATCTGAAACTTAACCCGTGTCCTTCGTACAAGCAATTCATTGATCAAATACGAAGGATGTAATGCAGTCAAGTGTAAATGTAGTATTTCTTTCTGTTTGTTTTGCTCAAAGGCTGATACTGGCGATAGTAAGTTAATTTCATATGTGTGCATCTACATGGGAAGAAAACTGGTGGTGGTTAATCCAATTAATTCCAGTTTTTTTTTGTTATTTTCATTTCAGTGATGAAAATTCATCCTGCTATGGAAAATGTATTTATCAGACTAAGATGAAGAATTGAGACAAACTGAAGACGATTATGATTGGCACATTTGTTTCCAGATTTTTCTTGTGTTTAACTCATTTCCACAGAGGGATGTTAGTGTGAATTCTTCTCTAGTTTTTACAATACTCACAACCAACACATATATTTGTTTTATTTCAATAATACAAATGAATTTACTCGTTATTAAAAGAGTATCAACAATATCAGGATGCAAATATATAGGTTCTTCTGATTTATTCCTTCATGCATTTAATATTGACTGTGTTAGGTAAATGATTCCTTTTCTCTTTTACATCATTACATTGATTATTTCTTTGAAGTTCTATTTTTCGAAGTTATAGGATTCGATTTAAACTCTTAGTTATTAATTAGAACCAAGTCATACTTGTTCAGATCTAATATGTTACATGAAAATGACTAACTTAGAAGCACATAAGATTTTATTTTGAAAAACTTTATTCTATAAAAATAATCATAAAAAATATTCAAAATATAAATATTTCTTGGATACAACTTTGTGGTAAACCTAATTTTGAGGTTTTTCTTGTATTTGATTCATATGAATTTGTAACAGTAAAAAAGAAACGCGTAAAAATGTTACAAATTCACTTATGAATTTTGAAATACACGTAAAGTTGAATCTGCAACACAGAAGAAGCAGCAAATATAATTATAAATTCACTAAGTTGAAATAACTTTTGAATTGAATGAATGTTTAATTGACTAAGAGAACATGCCAAAATTTAAACAACTTTTATTTTTTTTTATTCCATTTAATTTTTACCAAAACTATATGTTTAGCATGAATTAAATTTCAAGAGAAAATAAACCATTAATCATCTTCATAAATTAATATTCATTCTTTAACTTCAATGGCAAATTCTTGAATAATTTCGATTATTGATCTAATAAAGTTTAATTCATTGATTGTTGGTTCATTTGGAATTCTCTTGATAAATGACATATTAAGAATTTCATTGTAAGAAATTGGACGATCTTGAGCATTTCGTTTCAATCTAATAAAAAAATAAAAAGCTATAATAATTTAAATCAACGTGAACATAGAACAACTTACAAGCGTAAAATGAAATCTTCGATTTCTTTCGAAATAATCTTATTAGAAATTGTTGGATTGTAACTATTGATTTTTATCAAGTGATCAAGTAAATTTGCACTAGGCCATGGATGTTGACCATTAACAATTTCAATTAAAGTTATTCCTACAGCCCATAATTCACTTTGAATTGAACAAATATGTGGTGGCGTTTCAAGAATTTCAGGTGATAAATAATGAATTGTTCCCATTAGATGATATTCGTTTGAATTGATTTCATCTTTGCTACAACAAATTCCATAATCACTTAATTTAAAAACACCACGATTATTAATAAGAATGTTTTCTGGTTTAATATCACGATGAAAATAACTTTATTTTGCTAAGAATTCAAGTGCACTGATAACCTATAAAAGATAAAATTGCAAATTAGAAATTTTAATTAATTTAGTTTCTTACATTATGAATTAAACGGCTAATAAAAAGGTCCAAATTATTAATCACAATTTTATTGTAGGAATGCATTGTTTCATAAAATGATTTCATTGTTGAATCCATTAATTGCATACAGATGCATAATTCGCTTTTGTTCTTAAAATACAAAAATAAAAACAATTTTTGATAATAAAGAAAAAATTTACTTACTATATCAATCATTAAGCCGTAATAATCTAAAAGATATGGACAACCATTTGAATTCATTATTTCTTTCGCCATTTTCAATTCTGTACGTAATACAAAAACATATTCAGGTTTTGTTCTTAATTTCATTCGCTATAAAAATCAAATAATAAATTTACTTTACATTAATCGAAAGATTTTCACAAATAAAAATTTATTCTTTCTTTTGTTTCAGAGAAATCAAATAAAAAAGTCAAATAATTTCTAATAAGAATAATTTCCTTTGAATTTTACGTACTTTAACTGCAATATCAATGCCACCATTTTGTTTAATGTTCACTTTTTGGACAAAGCCGTATTTTCCTTCACCGAGATTTTGACCTGAAGTTAAGTTATTCACGTCAATTTTGAATAATTTATTGTTAATTTCAAATTCTGTTGAGATTTTAAGCACCATTTTCAAACTAAAAAATTACAACTCAAATAAAATCAGTTTTATCAAATTCAAATTTCCTACTCGAATTTATCCTGCATCTCTTCATCGTTGATTTCAATACGAAATTTATGATCATTAGAACCAATCTTTCCTAAAAAATTAATCAAATAAAATTTATATCAAGTTTCTAGATCAAATCAGTTATCTAATGATTTTCTCATTATGATCACTTATTATATGAATACCAGGTTTCGTAACTCTGTTTTTCAGTATTATTTAAAAAAACCTTTAAGAATTCAAAAGGATGAAATCAATTAACAGCTTTACATTTCTGTAATTTATATATCGATAGTTTCAGTATAGGTTCGAATAAGAATCGAAATTTTAACATCAGAGAAAATGCCAAAATCTGACTATTCTTGTTTATATTCTAATATCAATCTTGAAAAATCTTCTTACTTCTTTTACTAGTCTTATTTTTAATCGGTGATTCCTTTGATTTCTTCTTAACAATGGTCGGAAGTGCTTCAACAGTTCTAGTCGAAATGTCTGTAATCAATAAATACAAAAGACAATATTATTAATGTATATTGTTTTTTAATATTTTTCTAACTTACCACATTGAGATTGTGGTGAATTATCGAGATCGCTCAACAATATTGGTTCGTTAAGTAATGCAGATCCTATCGGTTCGTCATTAGTTTGATTATCTGATTGATTCGCATTAAATTCGCCATAATCTAAAATTAATCATTAATACACAAACATTTTTGTTTACAATTAAACTTTCGTTACCTAAACAGCCTGCTTGCAAATATTTTCGTTCATCATCGGCAAAAATTGTACTTTGAATAGGTTGTCTAACGGATGAATCTTGCATAAGTGATTCAATACTGTGATCAATCGAAGACTGATCGTTTTGGTTAATTTCTACAGGATTCATTTTCTCTTCTTTCAATTTATTTATCTGAAAATAAGACCTGATTGTCATTCAAGATTACTTCCGATGACGTAAAAATAAAAGAAAATTTCCATACATAATGAGCTTTATCGTAAAATGAAAAAATACTCCATTGTCCAAGCGAAAGAAAAACTTTGTTTTATCATATCATATAGTTTTTTTTCGAAAACAATAAACAAATGAAGAGGATTACTATAAGTTAAGGATGGTGTTAGATAAAAAAGAAATGTTTTCTTTCTTCTGGTTTTTTCTTCTTACATATGTATTCCTCGTGTTACAACTAGAGAAACCTGTTTATTGGCGCTTGGATGTATTAAAAAGAGAGCAAAGAAACAGAATAACCTTAATATGACGACGTAAACAACGCACAATATTCTAATGGATGTCGATGTAAGAAAGTAAAACGAAATTTAATAGGCAACATACATGCGGATAGAAAGTATGGAGTCGTAGAAATGAAAGACAACAAAAGGCATTTGAAAATGAATCAGATAATCTGTGAATATAATCGGTACAATTATGTTTTTTCATGAGAAAAAGTTTTCTCCTTTATTCTTCATATAAAAACAACTTTTACAGTTAACATTTGACAGGGATAAATGTACTCCGGCGTATCAGAGGGTAGACAGGTAAATCTTAGTTTTTTGGAATCGTTCCCATTGTATCTGACTAATTTTGAAAAAATTTTGTTCGCTATCGATCAATGACAAGCATATGTTGTTTTATTATTAAAGTTTCAACATTCGATTCCTTAAAAATCGATACATTTGAGAAATGATTGATAATTTTAAATAATTGTTCCCTTTATAGAAAGAACAAATAAATTTGAATGTTTATTATTATTTTTTTTTGTCGAGTATTGCTATTTCTAAATGTAGTGAACATCGAAAACTTTACCATAACTGGTAAAATAAAAAATCAATAAAACTCAAGATGAATCATTCATCTTTTATTATGAATCTACAAGAGAAATATGAACAAAGTAAATTTATTTTTTTTAAACACTTGTTCATAGAAGTCGAAATAATATATGGCTTAAATTCAGTAATTTTAGTAATTATTTAATTATTCCATAGAAATAATAATGTTTCTATAGATTGAGTCTTTCCATTTATTCAGTATTTTTTGAGCCAAAATGAAAATATGGAATTTTTAATTTATTTGAAATGTTATATAATTCTAGAGAAAAGATTGCATGCTCAGTCGAATATATCAATCAACCTCTTGAGCTACAAGGACTTATTTTCTATTGAGATAATTTCTTTATTAATAAATATGAAGTTTTTGCAGAAATGATTTCAACTAGCCTAACGACGAAAAATACTGATTAAAAAGTTATTTATTTTCATCAACAAACTCTTTTTTTCATTTTGATTCGAAAAATACTATTCCATATCCCTTTGACAAGCGATCACCAAAAGATATGTTGCCTGTAAATTGACTGCTTCGTGTCGGACCATTTGTTGTGGAAAAGTTAAACATATATTTCTTTGACACCTATCTCTGCTTTTATATAATTTTTCTTTGTAAATCTTGGAAAAAACCATCGAGAAAGTGAAGAAAAAGAGACTGGAAAAAAAACCAAAGGACAATTATCAATTACTCATCATACAACAGAAAATAGACAGTAAACATACACGCATGTCGTCAGCAATACAGAACATCGAAAAAAAACTAACAACAGAAGCGAGATGCATCAGAGAACGTGGCTTTCTATCCTTTCAAAGAAAAAATAACTTATCTGCTTTTATTTTTATTTTTCTTCTATACTTAGTTTATTGTTAACTATTTTAATGTGCCTACTTGAAAACATTTTCAAGGCTGATGATACCGAATAGAAAAAAAAAATGAAATTTATCCTTTCACGGGAAAGTTTTACATCGATGGATACAAAATAAAAAGAAAACGTTTTTCATGTTATAGTACAATTCAATTTTATTTTCTGGAATTATGACAATATTTTTTCTCGTTTTTCTTCCAGAAGTTATAAAACGATTCTATTCTTTGTTTTATAACCTCTCAATGGGATATTTTTAGTTAAAACAGTAGGAACTTTTTCCCATCGAATACGCCAAAATACAAATTTGTGATTAATAGAATTTGTCGATTGTCGTTCACATTTAAATTTGAATATTCGACGAATTGAAAATCATAAAAATTTTTGTCGATTTTTATTTCTAAAGAAAATTTCTTGTATAAAAATAAACGCTGAGCAGTCAATTTATCTAACAAAACTTACCATTCTCATCTGAAAATTTTTAATAATTTCTTATTATAACTGTTACTTGTATTTTACGTCGATATGTATATATAATTTTATTGAGACTATAGTAGAATGATTACTGAAAGTCTTTCACTTTAGTTTTTATTCCACACATTGTTTTTTCTTCACATTTTGAAAATAATAGGTTTATATACGATGTTCGAGCATAAATGGAATAAACCAGAAGATAAAATAATACAGTTGGGAAAAAATAGAAAGAAAGGAAGAGAACACATGAAGAAAAATACGCGATAGAACGAGAGAAACAATAGTTAACTTCATGTGAGTACAAAAAGAAACAGAACGCAGATATAAATATACATAGGGAAAATACCATTGATACATAAATCTTATGACACATTTACTGATTCCGATAATAGCAGTTCTTCTTACTCATCCCAAGTTTATACAAGTAAAAAAGTTAATATTCGTTTTGGAGTACTTGAAAAGAATATGCACAATATTGAAACAAACGATGAATTTATCAAAGTTTTTATTCGAAAAAATTTCTTTGAAAGAAAACTCAATGTTTTCATTTGTACCGTTTGTTGTCATTAAGATACAAAGCTCCCAAAATGGGAATGTTTACTTAGGCATTTCATGTATTTATAAGGAAGTAACTAGTGACTGATATATTTAAATGAATCACCGAAAAAAATCTAATGATATGTTGAAATTAAAAAAGTCTAAGCTATTTAATGTTTGATTTTTGAAAATAAATATTTGTTTTAAATTTCATTCTTTTCTCGTCTTTTTTGATTAGATAATGTGAATGAAAATTTTCGGAACTTGAACATCATAAAAATGTGTTGCACACGATTATAAAACTTGTCTTGATGATGTATGGAATCGCCAAGGATAATTTCCTTTAGAACAATACTATCATCGATGGGAAAAATTCTCTAACTCAATTTATTTAAAGGCAATTATATTTTTATGAATAGAAGACAGTTTACAATAAAAATTAAAGAAAATGTAGATTGCTTTTCATTATTTCGTTGTTAATTATAATTCTGTTTTCAATTCTTCAATATGGATTATTCTTCTTTACTTTTATTTGTTATTCATATCAGTAACAAAAAAGGCACCACCTATCGTTTTATGTTGGGTATGGGTGTGGATGGGTGAGTGTGGGTGTGCGTATTCAATTCATTTACACCCACACCCCATATTCACACCTTCTTTTTTTTCAAATTCAGAAGTAATTCAAATCGACCACTGTATGAAAGACTAATTTAAAAAAGAATCTTTTTTTGCACTTTATTGCTTTTTTTGATTACTAGTTGAAACAAATCAATTCATCGTTCTCTCATTCTTCTCATGAGAAGAAAAATAACCTTGAAGATTTCTCTAATTATTCCGACGGATATTTGATTTTCTCTTCATTTTTAAGGTTATCCATCATCGTAGTTATGGATGATTAGGAGCAAGCATTGTTTGATGTTGCTGTTTCCCATTATGGACACACATATTGTTACCGATATTAAAAAACAAGGAGATCTTACAAGTATGCAATGAAGAAAGAAGTTGTCGCATTCAGTATTACTTGTGTTTATTCAGTACTGATTTTCAGTGCTCAACAATCTGTACATTGAAGAAAAATGGTAACATTAAGGACTACCAAGGCTGTTAAACGTTATTCAATCTTGTGATAGAATTCGATTTAAGCTTTTTTTTGTCCTGATTCCGAGTATGCTATTTATTTTGTTCTCAGATTGAGCTATAGCGATGAGAACAGTTAGGTACGAAATGTTCTAATGATTTGATCACTTCATACAGCAATTCTAGCCATTCTACATAATCATGCAAGTCTCTTTCTCTTTCGAGTAACCTATCAAATGGTGCCGAGTTTCACGCACTATCACAATATGTAACGCTCTTTGCATCGACTTATTTCTATTATGAAAATAATTTTCAAAAGTTAAGTAGAAAAGAACAAAATGTAACGAGAAGGAATTTGATGATCAAGAGTTCTTCAATAAAAATAGTGCAATTCACGATGTCTATGCATAAATTTGTAGAGAATTTCATAAGCTATTAGAATATAGAAATATTTTTTCAAGAATGGAAACGCTTTGTAATAACATAATAAAAATACTGAGTATAACTATCAAGGATTTGTGATAAAAATACAACATGTTGTTGAAAAAATTTTCTATTCTAAAATTCATTGTGACAAACTTTTGAAAATGAGGGTGAGGTAATCCATTCTCACAGTCACTCATCGAATTCTGTTCATTGGTCGGATCTCACAAGATCCGATTGGGTTCGTTCATCAAATGCAGAATGGCTGTCCTCAAGCGACATGTACTCGGACAAGAGAAATATCTCTAATCTTCATGTTCATCTGATCCAATATGAAACTTCTCTTTTTTCTTGTGAATAGACTATGACAGAGAAATTTCATCTTCACAGTAACATTCGAAAGTCACGCGCTTTGTTTCTCTTGATCTTGATAATCGGTGGTGCTATGATTGTCTTCATTTCGTACTGCACAATACACAAAAAGGATGATATTGGTTATTCAAAACCAAAGTAGACAACATAAATAACGGTAAAGATGAATGAGGAATCAGTTAAATGTAACTCGAGTTATAAGATCTTCACGAAAACTAACTGAGAAATATGTAAAGTGTGGTAGTCACCGACACCAATG